AACTGTTGAGTCCGCTGAATGAGCCCATTGTTCTATCTTTGTCACTCTCTGTCAAGAAGGATAGAACGACGCTTGTGTCGACTTGTGTTGACTTGTGTCGTCAAATGGAAAGCACTTGCAGTAGACTTAAAGATAATAGCAGAATATTGACAATATCGACCGTCAATATAAATTTCTCGACCGTCGATATTTAAAATACGTAAACAATCGTCTATAACATCAGTATAAATGATTTAAATTATATACAGAATGTCTCAGACTTACTGCTCCATTTACTAATAGCAGATTCCTGAAGTCATTTTGAAACGAAAATTCGAATAAATTTTGTTCTATAGTACATATCATGAAAAATGCCAACACATCTAAATGCGCGAACATTAGGAAATATGATTCGCTAACTTTAAATGCTTATAATTCAAAAACTATTATAGTCTCGACATTTTGATATTAAAATTTTCAATCTGAAAATAACTTCATAAATTTGCCATTAACAAGTATGGCGGTAGGTCTGGGACACCCGGTATATCATGATACAAATGCTTCAAAAATAAGAGCTTATAGTTTATATCCGTATTCATAATCAAGCCTTAATTATTATATTTAACGCTTCCTTAAATTTATTTTCAGGTACTCTACAAATTATCTTATTGACTATAAAGCATCATAAGATGAATTTAAAGATAGGTCCTGACTTTGAATACGGGCATTATTATAGACAATGAAAGAAATAAAGAACATTCCGTTGTATCTGATGGTTTTTGGTAAGTTAAGCCCAAGCCACAATGCGAGGTAATAGCGATAGCGATAGACATAGCGATAGCGACAGGAACAAAGAAATCCAACATACGGGAATCCACAGGTTTCCCAGATAACATTTATATTGCATAAAATATCTAAAAGACGTCAAAGCTAGATCCACAACTTTGCTTTAAGAAGCCTTAAGTCGAAAGAGATTAAGTAACAATAATTTCTGTCTTTAAACTGTTTTTGCACAGTCTTTAGACATTAACCGTCAGACTTAAGCGAATTGAGCAAAACCCAATTCTTACGACCTAAAAATATAAGTTCTGTCGCCGATATATATCGTCACTTACTACTTAAAGCTTACGGCTTATGGCCTCTTAAAGCAAGGTTTTGCTTAAACCTAGCCTTAGATGTTTTATATCTAAAAGATGTCTAAAAGATGTCTTTTAGATATCTTATGCAACATGCATGTTATCTGGGTTGTTCGCGTCGCATGCTCCAACATGTTTCAATAGCCGGTATTCATAGTTAGTTCTTATATTCAAGACCGTTTTAAGTACGATCTTAAGAAGTCACGAACCAATCAGAAAACCGCATTAGCGTCTTAAGACACTACTTAAGACGGTCTTGAAATAAGAATCGACTATGAATACCGGCCAATATGCTCCTACCACAACTCTTACTCACTCCAATGCGCTTGAGGCCGGAATCAGACTACGCATTGAAGATTGAGATTGAAGATAGAAAAATTCAAATTTGACCAATCGAAACGAAAGGAGCTAAAATTTCTTTGTCCTTATTGATCAAATTTCAATCTTCAATGCGTAGTCTGATTCCGGCCTGATAGAGTGTGCCTTCCAACAAGCGACACAAATGACGTGGTGTGACGCAATGGATCATCTTTGTTGTTTGCCAATGTTAAATAAAGGTGACATGATCACTGTGTCGCACTGTGTTGCTTGTTGGAAGGCACCCAGAGTGAGTAGGAGCTATGATAGGAGCATGTTGGAGCATGTTGGAATTTGCGACGCGAACAAACCTTATATATCGATTATTTCTGTACCATTCCTACCGCTGTTGCCTCGCATTGTGTTTAGGACTTTAAAATTTATTGTTCATTATTTCTTGTTCCTTTTTATTGGTGTGAGTCTTATGACTATATTAATAGTTAAATCTTATATACTTAAGGCTTCCTTAAATTTATCTTTAAATGCTCAGTAGCCAATAAAATAATTCGTAGAGCATCTGAAGATAAATTTAAGGAAGCCTTGAATATATAAGGCCTATTATGAATACAAGCACTAATTATACATATTTACGATATTGTACTTTTTGCAGATATTGTACTTTTTAAATTGTTCTTTTTTCCAGGGAGGGAAGGAAAGTTACTTTTATCGTTACTTTTGTCATTACTTTTTAAAACAACGATTTGATAACGACGTTACAATTTTTATGCCGATAATTATAACTAGTTGAAAGCTAAGACTGGGAACGTCACTTTTTAAAAGTGACATTCCCAATCTTATTTTTAATTAATTATCATAATTATATCATAAAAAATTACCAAATCGTTGTTTCAAAAACAAGTAACGTTAAAATAAGTATAATTTCGATCTCATCCCTGCTTTTTTCCATAATCCGCAAAAATAATCGAATCCAGATGTTATCAATAAAAACATATATAGTTTTAAATAGAAATCAATATTGTCGTATTAATTATA